TTGAGGCTAGAAGGCTGAGTGGTCTGCACAGCCTGAGTACAGGTGGGAATTCAGTCGGAGGATGGCAGCAGGAGCTCAGTCCTTTGGGGTGTGCCCCCAGAATCCAGGGGTGTAGGGGATGCCTGGAGCCATGCTGTGCTTTTTAACCAGGGTTCAGGGAGTTTCTGGAAACAGGCTGTCAATTTCTGGTAAATTAACAATTCTAGCCAGATCTTACTAGTAAATATAAATAAATATTTTAATTCATGCTCTGCAGGGGGTCATAAAGGGCCAGAGGCATATGGAGTGTGTGTGTAATATATATTTATACTTTTTTTTTCATTCATTCCGAGGAACATAGATCCTGGAGCTAAACTGGTTTCTACTCAACAAACGACATCCTAGTTTCCTTTACAATTCTACCAGCTTGCTTGATATCATCTCTGATTTGTCATCGACATAATAGTAGAAAGGCAAACTAAACTGTCAAGATGCTGGAATTTAACAACTCAACAAAGGACATTTGCTCTATGAAAAACAAATCAAGGTTCTCTTTTTCCCATGAAATGGCAGAGAATACATTAAAAAAAAGTCCTTCCCAATTGAATGCCCAGGGAATTTCTCTTTTATGCAACTCTTATTTAAGGAGATGATGTCTATACCTAGAGGAAGAAAAAAGAAAAAAAAAATACCACCCAATAATACTCATTTGGCATTTATGGTTCTTAACCTGGGCTGTTCAGAGAAATAATCCCCAAGGACTTGAAATAGAGGGACTTGAAATAGAGCTGATACCTGCATCCCTACTCGCAAGGTTCTGACATAATCTACCTGAGGTGGACTTGAACATCAGCATTTTTTTTTTGGCACCAGGGATTGAACCCAGGGGCATTTAACCATTGGGTCACATCCCTACCCCTTTTTAATATTTTATTTTGAGACAGGGTTTCCCTAAATTAATTACAGCCTTGCTAAATCACTGAGGTGGGCTTTGAACTTGTGATTGACTCTCTTGCTTCAGCCTCCCAAGTGCTGGGATTACAGGAGTGATCCATTGCATCATTTCTAAAGATTCTGCTGTGCAGTCAGAGCTGAGAAACACACCCTAGGTGCTGTGAGTAGCTGTTACCATTAATAGCAAATGCCATTTGCAGTTTTGAAGGGAAAAAATCTACCATCTTAACCTGTCAAAGAGATTGTATGTCACAGGTTAGAAACTACTCAATTTGAGGTGAAAAGATGCAGGTTAGCTTAAGTTTTCTGGACCAAAACTTCCTTATCAGGAAAATGATAACATTCAACTGGAAGATTGCTAAGACTCCTTCTAACTTTGACATTCTCTGATTCTAGGCCTGGGGTTTTTAACATTGTTAAAAAAAAAATACAGATGCCTTGGTCTTGCATTAAGACATTTAAAATCTGATTGGTTTGGGATGAGGTGGTGCATTACTGGTTTTCAAAAGCTCACTCAGGTGATTCCCATGTGTAGCCAGAATTGAGCATCATGGATCCATTCTCTGGTAAACAGAAGTCTTTTAAGACAAAAGTTGAGAATTGCACATGAACATGTACACGTGTGTGTACAGAAATGTGCTTGGGGGGTGGTGTAATGCCTAGCTGAGAGAATGGTGGGAATTCACACTTTGTCTTGGATTAATTCAGAAACATGTAAGTAGTGTAAATACATATGTCCATGTTGTCTTAATTAGTCTCTGCTGGTTGCTCTGTGCACATTGTCAAGGACTGATGCCAAGCGCTTGGGATTCCGGCCCATTTTAATTCCCTGCTGGTTTCATAGAAATGAAAACAACAGGTAAGTCGGCCTGGAACAATAGCAATACCCGGCCTTCACACAGTGGAGAAAACAGATCTCAGTCTCACCTAGTCCTTTACGTGTATGGTATTACTTAATCCTCATAAGAGCAAGGTTAATTTTCTCTATTTTAGAGATAGAAGACCTGAAACTCACGAGAAATTGAAAGACTTGTTCAAGAAGATACTGTTAGAAAGTGGAGGTAACTGTTTTCCAACCCAAACCTTTTAACCTCCTATTCTTTCTTCCTTTATTTATTTACTCTGCTTTATACACACACACACACCCTCTTGGCTCTGGTTAGGTGACCAGGCACAGGGGTGTAATGGGAGGGAGCCATACGCTCTCCCTGGGGATTAGGAGTAAAGGGGGCTAATGGTGCTGATTTTTTCTGCTACACCCCATAGAGGGTCAAACCTAAAACTGTGCTGCCTTAGCGTGTAGGCAATTACCTGGATAAGAGGAAGAAAGCAGGGCACAGGCCAGGTGTGACCCCCCACATCAAGACAGTGGATTCCAAGCAAAGTGGCTTAGCCTTAGTTGTCACCTTGATCCTGGACAACAGAATCTCATTGTTCTGGACTCTGTTTTGTTGTTTCCTTTTAAGTCAGTGACATGGTCACCAAAAAGATCATTTCGGAAAGTAGTCAGAGCAAAGGGCCAGGAGATAAAATTCTATAGAACTCAATAAATTATGCGGTTCGATCCACAGATTTGGTAACTGCTTTGAAGAGGCTCAAGATTTTCAAGGCTCTCAGATTCCTTTTTTAAATTGTTTTATTTCTATTTGTAGACAGATACAATACCTTTATTTTATTTATTTATTTTTGTGTGGTGCTGAGGATCGAACCTAGTGCTTCACATGTGCTAGACAAGCATTGTACCACTGAGCCACAACCCCAGTCCAGTTCTCAGATTCCTGAGCTGTGATTTAGGCACCACCAGGAGGCCAGAAATGTGCTTCAGAGTCACCTGAATACTTCTTAAAGCACCACTGGGGACTCAGATTCAGTGGTGTGGGGTGCCAGGGAACTTGCATTTCTGAGATGCTCCCAGGGGGTGCTGATCTCACTGGCCTGGGGACAGACACTAGCAACTACAAGATTAGAACAACTATTCACTGAAGATTGAGGCAACCTAATAATCTTGCTAGGTCTTTATTTCTGCCCAAATTGAAAAATCCTGTAGAAAGGAATTACCTTCAGGGCAAAGCTTAATTCTTCATTCCACTAATTCAGGCACTTTTAAAGAAAGAGATGCTTGTAAACGTTCCTCCTATTCATGTGATGGAATCTAAGTTCAGACTAATTCACATAGAAATAAAACAGCATAGGAAATTTCCAGGGAGCCAGATATCAAAGAATTTCATGGGAGCAAAACAAGTTGAGACAAATATGAAAAAGTAAAATTGAAATTTTAATACAGTTAGCATTTAGCACATGAGTGCTGAGCTTATGCTCAAGTACCATCATCCAGTTAACGCTACGTTTGGCCTTTTAGGACATATATTAAAATTTCAGTACAAGCCATATGGAGAGATTTGCAAAATTGTATCCTGAAAGGTAGGGAGGCAGTGTACCTTATTCCCAAACGGCTATCATACTCCCATTTAGAGGACTCAAAGAGGAATAAGATCACCAATTTGCATGAGATATATTTAACACTGAACATTTCCAACTCCTGAATAAAAGTAAATTAGTCTATTGAGGTTGGCTCATAAGAATCATAGAGCTACAAAACAATTCTGAAGCTTTATTCATAATAATACTTAGAGCTGCCAAGAGAAAGATTTGAAGACTTCAAATTAAAATATAATGAATAGGTCTAAGCTCCTCCACTAAACACTTGAAATAAAGACTTCCTAGAAGAACTTGAAGGCCTGATTTTATTCCTTCCTTCCACAGATCTCCCCCCCTACCTTCTTCTATTTCAAAGGGATCCTGTGCACAAAAAAAGCATAAGGAAATACAGAGGTAGGATCAAGTTGTTTATTTTGATCATCTACCTAATATGCTGGCTACCATATAATAATACCATAACGAATGAGGGCATTTTGATAATAGTCGGGCTGCCCATTCTGCTATCTTGAACTGGCATCGGCGAATTTTGTGAATACCTAGCGGTCAGAGAAACTTTAAAATCTCATCTAGGATTTGAAATTCTCTTTATCTATTTAATGTAGCTTACCTTGGAGGGCAGCAAGTGGCTTGAGTTTTTGAATCAGTAACTCCTCTTTGGATCTCAGCTTTGCCACTTACCATCTGCCCATTTGTGAGATGGGGATGAAATGACCTAACCTCACTCAAAGAGATCAGGATTAAATTGAGTGAATACAGATATAAAATCTGGTGTATTGTGCTTTTCATAAGATAAACAAAAATTTAAAAAATAAAATAAAAAATAAAAAAAAGTTCTTTTCCCTTTCCTCTGATTTTATTCTAAGTTGCTCTGATTTTAGCAGAAATTCAATCTGTCAACATGACACAGTATTTTCTTTTAGCTTGTATAGTTTTCCTTTTAGTTAGCACAGATTTCAATCAAGAGTTTTTAAAATTGCTAAGGTTTGTATATCTTCACTTTCTTTAGAAGTGGTATTAATTCATTGTGTAATATTTCTTTTTTTCTTATAATAGGTACTAACTACACTAATATTTCTGTTAATGAAGATTTATCACAATGAAATATTTGATGTCAAAAAGTTTGTGAGTAAAGGTGGAAACAATGCACATACAGAAATGTGGTTTTGTTTTTCCTTTCTTGACCTTGGTCATAAATTCTATCCTCTGCTCTGTGTTCATGACATCTAACATTAATTCAGGGAGGGAACACCCCATCATGTCTCTTAGGGTGCTACACTGTCAGAGGCTCAGCATCTACCCATGTCTTCACCTTGTGATCACTGTTTGATGACTTGTTAACAGGAACCCCAGGAACTTTTTTCTTGGTGGAAGCATTGTCTTTAGGCATAGAAATCTCTATCTGAGAGCACCATATTTTTTAACTGGAGGGAGCTCAAGTAGTGATGAGGAGGGCCAGTGTGAACCAGTAACACATGCCTGTCAGTGGAGAGGTGTGACAATGAACTTGCCCTCATGACCATAAGGAAATTTACATTTACACAAATGTACATTATTTGTAAGTTGAAAATCTTTTGAGTCAGTAATGGAGAGGAGCATAAATGATGGTGAAGAAGAATGGTGTCACTCACCTGCCCAGGCTGTTCACAGGCTGTCTGGTACCTGGCCTGTTGGCACAGTTCCTTGACTCGCTCATATTTAGGCAAGTGATTTGATTGTTGGATATTTTTGCCAGATTCTTCCTTCTTTCGTAGAAATTTGCTTTGACAGAAAGGGAAAAGTGAGAAGTGATCAGCATTACCTTCCTGAGTCCTGCCCATTCTTTTATTTTATTTTTTTCCCCCTGTTGCATGACTCTACATGCTTCAAATAGCAAGATGTAAATGTTAAAGCTCTGTCTATAGGATTTCAACATTTTCTGAGCCCTTGCCTTAATTTCGACACATTGGGCATTCTCAAGTTCTTCTTGCTAATAAATAATGACATAAATGCTTTTCTCTCTCCCAATTTATGTACAAATAAAAACAAGGCAATAAGCATAACCAATCAAGAGGGGAACCCAAAGTGACTATGGAAATAATTATAATGGCTTAAATTTATATGTTTAAAGTGATGACAGGAACATAAGGAAAAGAAATAGAAGGTAGGGGACCAGACATGCCTTGGAGGCTATTAGAGAAGGACTTGGGAAGGCTGGTTGAGAAAGTTGATTGGTCTGGTTAGAAACCAAGGTTAGAAATGCAACAGTAAATCAGTACTGATGCAAAGGCTTTGGCCCCATCTCGCGATAATTTATTCTTTACAATTGTGATGCAGGAATAATTACTCCCCTGGCCAGGAGAGAATAAGCAGCAAAACCATTCAATCTTGCAACTAGGCTTGCAAAATCCACATGCTTAGTAAACCAAAATAGGAGGGAGAAAAAAAAAATAAAAGGAAGAAAGAAAATATCCATCAGGGAGAGCTGCCCACTAGGACTGGTTCCCAGAAGCACCCCAGGAACCAATAATTACCCTCTTTCCACTAGGAATGTATCTCGCCAAATTTTGGCCTTCTTGTTTGTTCGAAACCTGAAAGCAAAATAATAATATTTACTGCTGGCATCTGGATGTTTTTCCAAATGGATCTGTGCTAACAGTTTATTTAAAGAAACACCCCTCACTTCCTGCAGACCATGACTGCATCTCCATCCATGTGCTATTCACATACGGCAGAGAAAGGCCCAGCTCGGGGCCATCTGCACGGGTAAAGTGTATTTTATCTTGGCTTTTCTCAGCTGTTGCCTAGCTCTGAGAGCCAGCCAGAGCCCCGGGTGCTTGGGGATGGCTGAGAGAAGGAATTCTGACGCACCTGTTTCCTGGCTTTTCTGGGTCTAGAAGTTTGAGGACAGATTTGCCGTCCACATCAGGAGGCGTGTCGAGCCCAGCAATATCCAGGATGGTAGGGGCCAGGTCGATGTTGAGGACAATCTGTGGGACTCTGCAAAGACACAGATGGTTAGGCTCAGCCCCAAAGCCAGTGGAGGGTGGCATCTAAGGCTGCTCTTTCCACAGCAGTGACTCACTGGTCTTCAACTCTTCTAGCCCCTCACCTTTGGTTTCCCAGGGATAAGTGGTGGGATCTCTCCAGGGAGAGTAAGCAGCAATGGCACACAACAAGATTAATGGACTCTTGGTGGGGAGGAGGCTGGGCTGGAGAGAGTGCCCATACCCTTGGGCTCCAGCCACACTGCCAGACAAGATGTGGCCTGATTTTATCTTTTTGTGGGTTGTATACTTTCTTCTAAAACCTGACAGGTCCAGAACTCCTCTGTTGAACCAGGGCTTTAAAAATCCATATTCTCAGAAAGAACATACGACTTTCGGAGTTGAATCTAACCAAGGCTACCAAGGCTTTCCAACATACAGCTTTCTAACTATAGATGTGACAATTCCCAGGGTGTTGCTAATGATCATAAGAGACATAATAACATTCTTCAGAGAAATCCTTCTTACTCCCATCACCCTCTCCTCAGTGTGCACTGTGACGCACACAGGAGACACTTGGGTGAGATTTAGAAAATCTGGGTTAGGTATCCTGTCGCCACCTCCAGCAGAACCAGGGACAGGATGTACATGCCTGTCTAGCTTATCCAGTGGTATATCAGGGTCCAGGCTAGATGACAGGCATTTTGAAATATATTTCCATGCTTTTCTTTTAACCTTCATGTAATTCTTTTATGCACAAGATCTCATGTTATACAAAACATGGTATAAGACACGTGGAACCCATTTTATCATGGGAAAATAGAGATGGAAAGGGATGCAGTGACCAGCGAGTGGTGACAAGGTGACAGAAATAGAACACTAGCCACTTAAATCTTTCCTTTAAAAAGTAAATCTTGCTTTACAACATTTAATTTTTAAAAAATTCAGTAATTTAAAAAAAATTTAGATGATGATGATGATGATGATTCTTGGTACTAGGGAATGAATCCAGGGGTACTTAACCAGTGAGCCACATCCCCAGCCCATTTTTATATTTTATTTAGATACAGAGTCTCACTGAGTTGCTTAGGTCCTCGTTAAGTTGCTGAGGCTGGCTTTGAACTTGTGATCCTTCTGCCTCAACCTCCCCAGCTGCAGGGATTATAGGCGTGTGCCACCACACCTGGCAGAGATTTTGTTTTTTTGGTACTGAGGATTGAACTCAGTGCCTTGCACATGCTAGGCAGCATGCCAACACTGAACCACATCCCCCGCCCTCTTCTAATTAAAAAAAAAAAACTGAGAGAATGGTATTGGTTGTTTAAAAAAAAAAAAAAGCAGTGTATCTCTCTCTGATTCAGAGAAGGTAAAGATGACATCTGTTTCCCCAAATCATATTCTGTCCGTGTACACAGGCCAAAAAGATATGGATTCTGATCAATTTGAGAGAATTAATCATCGATAGTTATTTTTCTTTTCTGTTTAAACAGTACATGTTAGTTAATTTAACACATGGCAGTGGGTAAAGGTTTTCATCTTCTAAATTACCAACTTACATATAACCTTTTTTTGTTTTGAATGAAAGGAAACCAGACACTGAGATTAGTAATTGGATTATCTCAGATGTGCATGAGCTGAGGCAGCCGGACATTGCAGACAGAGAAATACATACGTTGATCCCGGTTCTATGCTTGGACCACGAATAAAGAAAGGCACGCGGATATCGAAGTCATATGGCATGGATTTCCCCTTGACTAGTCCAAACTGCCCAATATGGTAGCCATGGTCAGCGGTGTAAATGACATAAGTGTTATCCAGCTCCCCCGTCTCCACGAGCATGTCATACAGCTGCAACACAGCACAGGATGTGTCAGAACCCATTGCTGAGTCACAAGATGACATGATATGGTGTTGCCACAATTTACTCTGAATCTTTTTCATATATATATTTTTTTCCTTTGGTACCAGGGATTGAATTCAAGGGCACTCAACCACTGTGCCGCATCCCCAGACCTATTTTGTATTTTATTTAGAGACAGGGTCTCACTGAGTTGCTTAGCAGCCTCACACTTGCTGAGGCTCACTTTGAACTTGTGATCCTCCTTCCTCAGCCTCCCGCGTCTCTGGATTACAGGCAAGTGCCACTGTACCCAGCTTTCCATTATTTTTTTAAAAACAAGAATTCTACAATAAGACTGACAGACATGAACATGAACCACGTTTTCTAACTGCTTACAATCCTGGAAGGGAAGGACCCAACGATACAGTTCAAGTGTCACTTTTCTGAAGGCAGGACGTTCTACTAACAGGTTTTGTTCATCTGTTTAGTAAAACAGCAGTAATGATGATAAAACATAAACGTAACAAGGCACAAAACAATCTCTACCGCCAAACTTTATAAATTTTACTTTGAAAATCCCCTGCTAAGGCAAATCTTAATTTCATTACTTTTTTAAAATCTAACAACCAAGGGTTAAAAATAGACTGCCTGTCAGCCTGATCTAGGTAGATCCAGCCTTAGGTGTGTCTTATTTGATTTTAAAATTCAGGAAATTTCAAATGAAAATTTTTGTATTTCTGGCTTCTTTTTAAAAGTCAGAAAACTTGATAGTTGATGTTCATTTCTAAATGGTAAAAATTAGTTGGGGCTATGCATTGCTGCTTGCTTTCTATAGGGCACTTAATCCTAACCTCGCCACACTTCTCACCCATCCGTATTGCCTAGTTCTGGAACTGCGACAGTCATTATTGGCTTACGACATTATTGGCTAACGACAGACGTTATTGGCTTAATTTCTGAGGGTATGGCCTGATTTATGATGCTTTGATTTTTCTCTCCTTGGTCACCAGCTCCTTAAGAACCAAACTAGAAAAACAGAACAGGGACAAGATAAAGGAGACATGAATAAGCCATCCAACACTCTCTCTTTTAATATGAGGCCAGAATCAGAAAGGAATGAACGGAATTGGCAAGAATGGATGTACCCAAAGGAAGTTAAACAGAAACTCATCCCTGTGCTTACCCTTTCCACAGAATCATCTACTGACATCAAAGTCTGAAGTCTTTTGCGCTGTAGAACATTTGTAAATTCCATGTGGATGGGCAGCATTGGTCCCGTGTATTGCATAATCCAGTGTTTATCCATATTTGGTGCATAATTATAACTAGGAGTTCTGAAAACATCCAGAGAGAAAACTTATCATACATTTTTTACTTAGTCATTTATGGAGATATCTTCAGTTAAAGGTTGTGAAATAATCATATTTAAGAAGGACAATCTAGACACAGTTGGAGTGTTTGCCTCTTTGTGTTTATAAGAAGATCTGAATTCTCACAACCCCCCTCCAAGAATTTACTCTCTGAGGGTATGAGGGTATATAAATTAAAACAGATGAAACCAAGATTGGCGGCTGAACAGGTTATTAGTGCAAGTTTTTGGGTTCATCCAATAAACTGTGTAAGAAACCCAACAACACGATTATGGTTATGTTACAAAGCTACAGATAAAACTCAGTAATACAGAAGGGAATGTTCTCAGGGTGATGTTAACTCATAAAAACTTTATTGCTAATTAGGCTATTAAATATAGTCGCAAATGTTATGTGAAATGAAGATGAATCACAGCCTCAGTGCATTTTTCTCTTGAATTTCTTAAGAGCATTTTATTGATTACTTATATATCTCTATGAGTTTTTCTCATTCCTGATCTTGTGTATTAACACCATTAATTACACTTACTGGAATTATAGCCAAGACGATGTCTTCAACATACGTGTTTACCATGAAAGCTATTCATTTCATAGACAAATCAGAAGGGATACAGGGCATGATTTTTATTAACCACAGGTAAGTAGGTCCTAGTGGTCTAGGATAGGTTAGTTCAAATCTATATTTAGTCTAACCCAGAGACCCAAGTGTTGTCGAATGTATTTCACTGGGGACCCAAAAAATATCTCACCTTCCTGTTGAAGTCCAAGTCCCTCAACCATTAAATACTACCACCTTGTGTTCCTGAAATGCAGACTCACACTATAGCAGTTCTTAAACTCAGGATTATTTATTTACACTTGAATTCTTTGCTAGACCATAACCCACTGGAACCTTCTCTTTAAACATTATTGGGTATATAGGGGTTGTGAGTATTGACCACGTGTTTGATATTGTGCAAAGCATTTTATATGCCATTAACTCATTCAGTTATCTCAGATGTCCTGGGAAATAGGTTTATTATATCCATTGAACAGATGAGGAAACCAAGACTTAGCAAAGTTAAAGAACTTCAGCAGATTAACAGTTCATCAGGGGTCAAATCAGAACTGGATTCCAAAGCTCACTTGCTTTAAAAAAAAAAAAAAGTCAAGTGAGGGTTGATTCCAAACCAGGACTTTACAAATAGCTAGTCTCAATGGGTAAGCAGCAGTCTATGTTGATGGAAAAATCTGATTAGCCCGCTTTGTTCTGGAGAAATGTCTATCAGTGAAAGATTGTTGATAAGAATTACTAAAGGGGACCCTGGGCCACTATTCATATTATAAAACTAGAGAAACAATCAGTCACTGTGTGCCCAGTGACTTCAGGAGACTGGCAGAGTACTCTCTTAATTCTGTGGTGCTGTGAATTTCCTCTGGGAAAAAAACATGGAGCTTCTGAGACACATGGTTGTACACTGGCACAATCCTGTGCACACCGAGCCATAGAAATTCACATTTTCTTCTGCTAGGGGATTTGCAAAACCTCCCTTTCCACAGGAGAAAATGCTCGTAGGAATTATTGACTTCCTGTTCCATAGTTACTCTGATGATCAGTATGGACACTGGTTACCTGAGCAGAAGGGCAACAGCATAAACACCAGTTAAACCCAGAGACATTGTATCTTAAAGTGTATAAGTTATGCTTAGAAGTGTAAGCCAACTTCCATCTACAGGGACGTGTTCCAGAGTGGGCAAGAGCATGTGGCTAGACATGCTCATTGTAAAAAGGGCTTCATTACCCCTTTCTTAAAAAGCTGTTTTGATCTCAAGTTCAAGGCCAGCCTGGACAACTTGGCAAGATCCTGTCTCAAAATTCAAAATAATAATAATAATAATAATAATAATGATAACAACAACAAAAATTATAAAGGGCTGGGGGTGGAGCTCAAATGTAGAACATCCTTGGGTTCAATCTCCAATACCACCAATAAAATAAAATAAAATAAAAAGGCTGTTTGGTGAAACAACTACATATACTTATTATTAAGGTGGACACATATCTTTATTTTATTTTTATGTGGTGCTGAGGATCGAACCCAGTGCCTCATGCATGCCAGGTGAGCACGCTACCATTTGAGCCACATCCCCAGCTCCACATATATATTATTTGAGCAGGCCTAGATGAGGTCCTTAAGCTTCCTTCATGAACCAATAACAAATATACTTCATGTAAGTCTTTGGGTTGAAAAAATCCTATCGTAGTAAAATGCTTCAGGTCCACAGTAAAAATAAATAAAATAAAAATAAATAAATAAATGAAAACTCTTTAGGTAGCATCTGTCATTCTTTTAAAGAGAAACTTTTAATATAAAATTTCTTCTTGCCTACCATAGGTTCCTATTTTGGGGCCTGCAGAGGCTCCTCATATCCAGAACTAAGGCATGGTGGGAAGAGAAGAAGGTGAGGACTGGGGCTGTACTCCTCATCCCTGATGCAGCCTGTCCTGCTACAGACAGGGTTAGACCAAGAGATTGAGGAGCAGGAGAGAGGGACTTCCAGATCACCTCGCAAAGGGCTTTTCATCCCTGGGGGTTGTTTGAGGTTGGAGAAATAAAGCAACTTGGTCGTGAAAGGTCTCCTAACTATTTACTGATACGTGCCCTGAAAGAGAACACAGCTATAAAAGATTATCCAGGGTTTCTTTATCATAAACATCCCCCTCTTTTTGCCTTTGATGTTGGGGTTGGCTTAATTTAAAAATAAATCTAGTTGACTTTCTTAAAACCACAAAACCTCAATGCAAATAGAAATTACAATAGGAAACTGACACACAGGCTCACTGTGGGCAAATTATATCTTCCACCAGTTACCTTGATGTGCTTGGCCTCGTCCCATCTCCCTTCGAGGAAGAGGGACGGTTGCAGCAAATTACAAGCCTCAAATTGGACTCTCGGATTTACAGAATGACATATGTTAAATCTGGCTTATATTAAAAGGGAGAGTTCAGGGTCTGCTGTCAAAGCTGTCCACCCCCCCACTCCTTTATTGTTCTTAATTTCTAGTTATGGGAGATGACCTCCAGTTCTGGGATGATATGGAGGGGGGGATCCCTGTGGGGCAGCGCAGTGGGCGGTGGGGAGTTGGAGGCATTTGCCTTTTAAAGGAAGACAGACCGCCTCTGCTTCCCCCCCCCCCCCCCCCAGAACAGCAGCTGTTCTGGGACCTGCAGGTGGAAGGTCGAGGGTTGCTGGAATTGACAATGTTGTTGAAAAGTGATCTTTTGCCAAAGACCTGTGGTTGCCTCCTGCTGAGATCTGCCAAATTCCTTGAAGATGCAGCCTTCTGTCCTCCAGTGATAATTAAGTCTTGCTTTCCTAACTAAGGATTGACTTAAAATTATTCAAACAGGGCCTGGAGCTGTCATCTGGAACACAAGCCACTGGAAGAAGTGGGGAACTGTTTTAGGTTAAAGTGGAAAAACGGTACATTTGGCTCTTCCAAAATGTTTTGGGCTCAGATTCAAATTTTCCTCTCAACTCTGTTACTTACTGGTATGGGATTCTGGACAATTTTTTTTTCCCTTTATGATCTAAGCCTCCGTTTCCTCCTCTTTATAATAGGAATAACATACTTTGAAGAATTCTTGTGAAAGTTAAAAGATTTCTGTGACTCGATAGAGCAAATTTTGGGATCACCTTGTACTTGTAGGTAACTGGGAAATGACTTATCACTTAATTACTCATTAAGGCTTCTTGTTTCCATTTACAAATGAGGAAGTACTCAGATGTGGCAGCTTTTGGCGAGTGCTCTATGATGTCACATGGACATGTCCCCACCCCCTCCCCACCAACCATACCATCACAAAGCATGTAAAAATCCCAGCCATTAAGCTGAGTGCAATGGCACATGCCTCTAACCCCAGCCTCTCAGCAACTTAGCAAGGTCCTGTCTCTAAATAAAATATGAAAAGGGACTGGGGATTTAGCTCAGTGGTTAACTGCCCCTGGATTCAATCCTTGTTTTTTTTTGTTGTTGTTGTTGTTTTTTAAAGCCCAGCCATTAAAATGAGGACTGATGTACACTTTTTTTTTTCCTATCAAAATCCTCCAAACCTGACTCTTTGTCCCAATTTAAAATATTAGCAGCTTCTGCTTCTCATTCAGGTGCTTCCCACCAGTTGCTCAATGTCAACTTTTGTTGCAAACACAGAATGATGTCTGGCCCTCCAGGGCACACCAAATGCATCTGCAGAAAGGTAGATAACACTAGCTGTTGCTTTAAAATTAAGAGGACAAAGGACCAGAGAGTCCTATTTGACTTTCTGTTGCTTTCTTTAAAAAAAACTATTTCAAGATTCAGTCTCCCATTCCCAGCCTGGTAAGACTTTGTCTGTTAGATTAGGGTTTTACCCAGACTTGTGCACTCTAGCTCTTAAACACATATACCGCTAATCCTCCAAGATGACTACTGTATTTAAAAGTTTTAACTTTCCCCAGAGGCTTCCTGCATATTGCCTCTCTCTCTTGTCATTGCTTGTTGGGATGCACTGCTCAGCACACTGGGTCATACACTCCTGACCCCCTTCACTTGTAAATTTGACCTTCACCATCATGCCAATTCTCTTTGGGGTTTGATTTTTCTTTCCAGCATTGCTTATTGACAGAGCAGGAATAAGAATTCTGAAAATCAATAATGTCACTTTTCTTTTTGATGGTGGAATTTTTAGGAGAATAATGCTTACTGGCAAAAAGTTTCAAGAAATGCACATGTTGTATATTAAACCCATATTGGGGACTTACAAAGAACTTAGCAATTCATTTTTACTGCCGATGGCCTTTGCTGTCATTCCAGTGAAAATAGATGTTTTTCTCATGTCTTGTATTTGAACATGTGTAGTCTTCATTTGTTAGCTAATCTCAAACAACAACAAAAACCCTAATAAGGGAACTCTTAAAGGACACTGGTAGCAGGAACATAATTCA